ATGTCTACATATAGTAATAAGACTAATTACCATTTCAATATAGCCTAGTTAATCAATTGTAAACAGTATGAATATGATCTATCAACAATAGTAGCCTATATTGACCAATTCACATTAACGGGCCATTTAAACAAAACAAAACGGTAACTGTAAACATAACTATATTATTAGCAACACTGCGCATGCAATTTTGTCATCTGCCACTTTAAATGCTCCAGCTCTTTAAAGTAGGAAGATGGATTCTGCTTGGCTGTCTGTGTAATTATTTCATTGAATAAAAATGAGCGCTGCATGCTGCACCTTTCAAAGGGAACTGACTTCAGAAAAGTTTCGATGGCATTTTAAAATCTTTTCTGTAATGCTTGATAAAGTAGCATTTATGAACTCAGCACCTCCTTGTGTACTGCCATTACTGGGGAAACCGCTATATTTCTGCCTTTCTGAAAGCGCCTCCTGCTGGCAGAGAATGAATTTGCATTTTCAATCAATTAAATTAGTAATGTTTTAAATTAATAATTTACACGTTTGACGCATCCCTTTTTAAAATGGTTTAAAGGCTGAATTGTGATGTTTATCATTTTAGAAGATTTTTGTTGTCTTGTTTTTGTGAAAACCTGCATCTGAACTGTAAATCATGTTATTGGTTTAATACGTTAGCAAAATCTGTGAGGCCATCGACATCCAGCTGGATAGTGAGTATGGGGAGAAAAGAGCAGGAGAGACAGAAGAGAAAGCAGGCAGCAGTGTCATTGCTACAGAATACTGAACCTGTTCAAAAAGACCCCCAAACAGAGTAAGGTTGTTATCAGGGGTGTCGCTACTGGGGAGAAAAGGGGGACAGATTGCATAGGGCCCAGAGGTTGAAAAGGGCCCAGAAAACTCAGTGGAGTGCTGTAGCATGGGTCAAGGAAGAACAAAGTAAATTCTGACCAGGGGCGGATCTAGACCATTTTTAGGTGGGCTAGTTCATCTTAAATTAACAAACAATTTTGGATTGTTTGTTTATGTTCACATTTCACTTATGCCAAATAAATAAAGCACCCTTACCCTTTAAAACAAGCGTAGTTGCTGAGAAATTATGTAAGTGATCTTACAAATGCTAATTTAAATTGAGTGACTTCTTCAAAACTTCAGCCAACCTGGATGAAGCTGTGAACTTTATTCTCCAAATTGTACTCAAGAAGATTGGAACTGACCAGTGTTCTCATTCCATAAGTGTCAAGACAAATATAGCAACAAGCGAAAAGGCACTGACAGAGAGACGAGAGGGGATGATGATGATGAGAGGAGTTGAACTTGTATTTTAATAATATTAAAGTTCCTTAAATGCATTCTGTTTTTAGTGTGGCCTTTAAACTTATGAATTGTGTTTGGACTGAAAAAAAGCAATTTGGCAACATAGCAAATATTTTCAGTGCATCAAAAATCATGCTTGTTAAGATACCAGCAGACAAGATAATCCAGCACAAATTAGTGCATAAAAAGTCACCAAAAAGAAATATTTGAATCTCATAATTAAATACAAAATGAGGGGGAAAAATGCAAAAATGTCCACTTTTTGAAAAAGACTTCCTCTAGGCTGGCTAGTAAATACTGCTGACTATGAAGGAACTGTATAGGCCAAATGATTTATGAATTTATGAATGGAGAGGAGGACCGTTCTGTGAAGCAATTTTAACAGTGCATCGAATATTAGAGGACATCGTGTTTTGATTATATAGCTATCTGTCTTTCAACTGAGATGAAAGAACTTCAACATCTCCAGTCAAATGGTGTTTTGGCAACTGCAGTGACTAATAGCAATCTGTTAGGCTGAGAAAAAAGCTAAATATTATTAAATGTGAATATTATTATTATTATTATTATTATTTTTCTAGGCATTACTAACACATACTGCCCTCTTTTTTAAAGGGACAGTGCACACAAAAATGAATTTTTTTTTTAAAGAATATCATGTCAACTTCATATAATAAAAACAGAAATAATACAAAAAGACAAAAAAAATTTAATAATACAAATTTTAAAAAATGAAATACAAATTAAATAAAAACAAACTTTAAAAGAATATCCGGGATACTTTGAAACAGTCAAGCTAAAATAAATAAATATAAAATTATAAATATAAAAAGTGACAAGAAATACATTTAAAAAAAGGGAAAAATAATTACTTTACACTATGTAAGCAATTTACACAATAATGTAAATTATTTACACTTTAAAATAAAGCAAATAAACAAAATCAAACAAACAATGTGTCCATAGAACTCATGCACCATATAGGCAAATCTTCTGAAGCCATACGCTAACTTTGCCCTTTATCCCTTTAATATCAGTCTCTAGTCCATTTTTAAAGGGACAGTGCACACAAAAATGAATTTTTTTTTTAAAGAATATCATGTCAACTTCATATAATAAAAACAGAAATAATACAAAAAGACAAAAAAAATTTAATAATACAAATTTAAAAAAATGAAATACAAATTAAATAAAAACAAACTTTAAAAGAATATCCGGGATACTTTGAAGCAGTCAAGCTAAAATAAATAAATATAAAATTATAAATATAAAAAGTGACAAGAAATACATTTAAAAAAAGGGAAAAATAATTACTTTACACTATGTAAGCAATTTACACAATAATGTAAATTATTTACACTTTAAAATAAAGCAAATAAACAAAATCAAACAAACAATGTGTCCATAGAACTCATGCACCATATAGGCAAATCTTCTGAAGCCATACGCTAACTTTGCCCTTTATCCCTTTAATATCAGTCTCTAGTCCAACACAAGTTTTATTTTGTAGCTAAGGCTTTTCTTCTTTGATCTACAGAATAAATAAATATATAAATAAATAAAAACCTAACTGACAACACACACACAAACAGAAAATGTTCAATAAACTTGAGAACCAACTCGGAGTAAATTATTTTATTGGAACTGCAGTAGTGCTCAAAAAAAGTGCACATATTTTTGGGTAAAATAACATGTTAAGATATATAAACACTAAAAGCCACTGACTCCACAACACGTTATTTAACCTGAGAATGATCAATTTGTTATTTCACCATATACAAAGCTTAAAAGATAAATAGGCAATTACATTGTTATCCTGCACTGTAACAACTGAATTACAAAGCAGGTGCACAACATCTGACACTTTCTAGCACGTCTGTATATTAAATAATAACAAACGATGCTCCAGGAATAAGCATGAACTGCCCTAATCACTGTATTAAGAAAACAATGATCACAGCTAATCACAGTGATGCTGCTGTTTGGCCAAACAGGTGCAAGCCAATGATGATTAATCAGTCCGAGTGTCAATAGAAGTGCTAATATGTTAGCATACATGTGCTAATAGACAGTGCTTCATCACATATTAGTATTTAAAAAAAGGCGTTTACATAAATGTTCATTTACACTCTTACAGTTTCATAGTCACTGCACATGAGTGAAATATGTTGTTTACAAAAGCACCACAAACCAAGCAAAACAGCACTATAATCACACTTGTATCAACTTGAACTTTATCTCTTAGTAAACATTTTATATTATACTTCAAAAGGTTTATTGTGAGCAATTTACAACAGCTGATTAATGTTTTCATTTTAAAAATTAACTCAGCTTTCAAATGAGACAAGTAATATCAACTCCTTGCAATACAGCTGTATGACTCTTCATTAGATATAACAGACGAGTCACTGTAATGAGTGAGTCACTGCATCTATTTTAAAGCACAACAGCATTTAGGTTCATGAGGCAGTGAGCTGCATTCTATAAAAAGGTCGAAAGTCACAGCTTAACTTGAAGCCCAGTCTGAAACCCCACTTAAAACCAACAGAAATACTGAATGTGTGTTTGCCACACAGAACATGACTGTGTAATGTGCAGGCTTGTTGGCTTTTGTTCCCTCAAATCACATTTTTCACTAAAGGTCCCTTCATATTCTAAACCTGTGAATACATCAAAATATTTAACAGATATATACAAATACTTCAGAATTTCTGAAAATGTTTTGCTTTATAATTAGATTTTTATTATCGGTTACATTTTTAAAATTGATTTTAACAATTTATACATTCAAATCTTAATTCAAATTTCAATTAAATTTATTATTTGTTTTAATTGATTCAATCACCTGTTATGGCATACAATACTGTTCATAAGTTTAGGGTCAGTATCATTTTTTTAAGTCTCTCATGCTCACCAAGGCTGCATTTATATGATCTAAAAACAATAATATTGTGAAATATTATTACAATTTAAAATAAAAAAAATACTCAGCTTTCAAATGAGACAAGTAATATCAACTCCTTGCAATACAGCTGTATGACTCTTCATTAGATATAACAGACGAGTCACTGTAATGAGTGAGTCACTGCATCTATTTTAAAGCACAACAGCATTTAGGTTCATGAGGCAGTGAGCTGCATTCTATAAAAAGGTCGAAAGTCACAGCTTAACTTGAAGCCCAGTCTGAAACCCCACTTAAAACCAACAGAAATACTGAATGTGTGTTTGCCACACAGAACATGACTGTGTAATGTGCAGGCTTGTTGGCTTTTGTTCCCTCAAATCACATTTTTCACTAAAGGTCCCTTCATATTCTAAACCTGTGAATACATCAAAATATTTAACAGATATATACAAATACTTCAGAATTTCTGAAAATGTTTTGCTTTATAATTAGATTTTTATTATCGGTTACATTTTTAAAATTGCATTTTAACAATTTATACATTCAAATCTTAATTCAAATTTCAATTAAATGTATTATTTGTTTTAATTGATTCAATCACCTGTTATGGCATACAATACTGTTCATAAGTTTAGGGTCAGTATCATTTTTTTAAGTCTCTCATGCTCACCAAGGCTGCATTTATATGATCTAAAAACAATAATATTGTGAAATATTATTACAATTTAAAATAAAAAAAATTATTGTAATGTATTTTTAAAATGAATTTTTTTCTGTGACGCAAAGCTGAATTTGCAGCAGACTTTACTCCAGTTGTCAGTGTTACATGATCCTTCAGAAACCATTCTAATGTGTGATTTGGTAGATAATTAACACTTTTGATCAATTTAATGCACTCTTGCTGAATATTTTAGTGTTCATTTCTTGTAAAAATCTTCTTGAAAAAAAGTCTATCGTACTGACCCCAAACTTTTGAATGGTAGTGTATTGATAAAACCCACATCCTCTAGGGTCTTTACTATTAATATTTAACTGCTACAGTAGAGCTATTAACCACATAACAACAGTCTCTAAGAAACAAAATGAGCAAATTCTTCATTACACGCATCAAAGCAGATACCTCACTAGCATCAAAACAAACATTGCTGCAGTGTTAAAGTGTTGTTGTTGGATCCGTTTGGCTTCAATGTCACATGATCAGGACAGATCTGGTCCTGAATTAGCAGTTCTTGTTTTGAGACATATAATCAGATCCTGGCCTCCAAATATTGTGGCACATCACAGTGAACACCAATGAAAACAATCAGTCACAATCATATTGATAGAAAAAAGGCAGCCTTTCACTTTCACCACAAAAACAGCTCAAATTTAGCATGAGGCAGAGCAAGATTGCAACATAGCATAAAAAAAGACAGCAAACATCAAAGCTCACTGCAAAATGACTGACACACACACACACACATTCAGGTACATTCACAGTGCAGAAGACACAATTTTGTGCCATATGAGTGTTTTTGGTCAAGTACATCCCCATGTGAGAGGGGGACATCGGATTAAATATCAGACTACTTGGATGGACTGACAAACATCCTCAACATCCGTCCTCAATGATACGGTTAAATTGGAGAAAGAAAAAAAAAAAGCTGTGCAGACAGCAACAATCTCATGGCTACTGTGACTGTGGCAGTGTTTCTAATAATTTGTCTCAGGTTATAAGACTGCACTATAACCATAAATGTAGCGGTGATGTCTTTTTGTGCACATTTATAGAAAATCATCTTTGCTTGTCAGTCCAGTTTCGCGATTGCATCTCACGAAACTCAAGATAATACCTCCAGATGGAATGTTATGCTACTCAGACTTGCCTTACAGCTTCGGCTAATGCAGAAGAGTGTTAAGAACAAGTGATCGGTCAAACACAGAGGTACTTCAGCACCTACAGGCATTACATGTGCATTCAAAGCTAAATGGCTTAAGGCAGAAATGACAGATCGAAGATAGAATAGGCAAAGAGATCCAGTCACGCTCGCACATAGACATGTGAATTGCAGAAAAGCTGAACAAACACCTAAAGCTGCTTTAACACCCTTAAAAGTCAACATGAAAATGCATTCGTAACCCATTTTACTTCCATGTGACATTAATGAATGAATTGCTAAAGCGTTTTTTTTCCAGCAGCTTTTCTTGTTAAACTACAAAATTGTTAACTAATGCTGTAATGTGATTAAAAATTGTTGATACTGTCAATCAGAACTAAGGCAAATTCTTCTCAGACTCAACTGATAAAGGAAAAGCCTTGTTTGAAAGTGATAACATTAGTTTAAGCGAACAGTACAGTTCCCAATGGTTTTACAATGCATTCACTATGATACTATGAACTTTTCAGTCACTATCCACACCACAATGATCAGAATCAATACGTAAAATAAAATAAAATAATTAATATTTATTTCGATTGGAGCAAATGTAGGTGGTGTTCTCTGCTCCAATTCTCAATATTTATTCAAAAAAATCTTTGGAATAACATGCACTGATGAGTCACACAATATCAGGAAGTAAACAGGGTCAATTGATAGGGGCACCATTTTTAAAATTCTAGCTGATACGGATAAAAGATAATAATGTTATATACCATTTCACATAAATAAATTAAAAAATTAATTACTAAAAATGAAAAACAACCGTTTCAAGTGAATTTAGGCATCCCAAAATTATAAGACCAGAGAAATACCGGATACTGAAAAATTAACAAATAAATAAATAAATAAATAAAAAAATTCTAATTCCCACTGAAAACCAAATTGACATTGATATTTTGTGTATCCTTATCAATTATGATTTCATGTTGACCTTTATAATGAATACTAAATCTGTCCTATACACACCCCCAACACACACACCAGTATAGACTAGTCTCTCAGACACTGATTAAATACAGTCTTAGACTTCAGTTTAGTTCAGGCCGAGGCTTAATATGTGTCTGGGAAACTAGCCTCACGAACAAGAGGTATTGCTCATGAATACAGGCATACCAGCATTAACAAGTATAATGCCCTGTACAGAAGCTACAAATGATGACAAACAACAAGTCACATGACTCCGGATGTGCTGGTCCACTGATGTCACTAGTCCATGTGATCCCACTGAATGCACACATGGGTTTGAAGGCTGTTTTGGTCTAATCTGGTCTGAGTTTATACAAGGCCCGGGTATTTTTCCAATCTCAGTGCAGACTCACGTTTAAAGTTTGCAGGGAGGTCAAAAGTAGCAAGAACAGACCAAGAGGGTCAGAGCTGTAGCCAGGAAATAAGTGACTCTGTAAATGTGCAGCGGACAAAAAGCCAGCATGCCCACACACAGCGGCAACAGTAGATGAAGCGTCAGATTCAGCATCAGTTTGCTGCAATACAAGTATAAATACAGACACACAGAATAGTTAGAACTTGTTACAACAGACTTCCAGCTGGCATCAAGACTGCTCAAAAGTTTGGGGTCAGTAAGATTTTCTTTTTCTTAGAAAGAAAGAAATTAATACAGTTATTTAGCAAGGATACATGCAATTAATCAAAATATACAGTTAAGGCATTATAAATGTTACAAAATATTTCTATTTCCATTTTCTATTCATCAAAGAATCCCGAGAATCACGGTTTCAACAAAAATATTAAGCAGCAAAAGATGTTTTCAACATTGATAAAATAAATGTTTCTTGTGCATCAAATCAGCATGTCAGAATGATTTCTGAAGGATCATGTGACACTGAAGACTGGATTAATGATGCTGAAAATTCAGCTTTATCATCACAGCAGTAAAATTACATTTTAAAATAGAAAACAGTTATTTTAAATTGTAATAATATTTCACAATATTACCGCTTTTACTGTATTTTTGATCAAATAAACGCATAAGACTTAAAAACATAAAAATCCTACCCACCCTAAACTTTCAACAACAGTTTGTATGCATTTAAAATATAATATTCACTATATATTTGTGATGATTTCAAATTAAAATTAAGCAACATCATAAATAATGAGATCATTTTAAAAGCTCTTTGATATGGCCATATTAAGCTTTCTGAAGAGTGCCATTAATGAACATGACTATTTGAAATGATGTAAAATGACATGACTAATTTAGTAAGAAATGCACACAAACCTGCGTAGAAGATTATCTGTGTTACAGCTGATGAGCAGTACAGAGCTGATGAGCAGAGGTACAATGTGAGGCCAGCAGGGGTCAGGATCCAGATGAATCCAATATCTGAACAAGACACAAACGTATGCCAATTAAAATCACTCTTAGAGGCTGTAGAGTATTTTCTCTTCACTCTCAGGCAGTTTAGTAACTTGTGAGAAATTAAAAACAACAACAAAACAAAAAACAAATCAAATGAACTTATATCTTAAATGACTATTACCTGAGATTGTGCTTCCAGTGGATAAGGGAAGGGACACTGAGCATCATGGTAAAAGTAAGCAGTGTGGACAGACTAAAGTGGAGCTGCAGATCATCTCTGATGTCCTGTAGCACTGATTCTGACAGTAAAGGGCTGCCGTTACATTCTTTAATCTTACTGTGACAATCACTGGCACGAAAACCATTTTCAGATTTTTGTGAAACTTTCTGGGGTGCCTGGTTTAATAGAAACAAAACTTTTAACAAAAAATTTTAAAATCACAGGTATTGTGAGCCAACTAGAAACTCAATGCATCAATGATGTAAAATAAGACATTTATACCAGGTTCAACATGTGGCTCAGCGATCTCTCTGTCATCTGTAATCGAAGTACCTGGACAAAGACAAATAATCACAAGAGATTAAAATCACTATAAAGAAAAACTGTACATTCAAATGAGAAAGAAATATTCTAGTAGATATTAAGAGACCTCAGTAGGAATTTCTTAAGACAAGCATTCACCTCAAGGTCAAAAAAACATCTCTCTAGAATCACCTTTTACCAACCCTAGCACATCTTTATATGGAGCAGGTATGAAAGGGCTTGATGAAGGATGAACAGATCACTCACCCTGTAGAGGTGGAGAAGAGAGGAGAGCATAAGAGCCAGTGCTCCACATGTGACGCCACCCAACACACTCAAAAAGATAATCAGGAGAATCTGAGAATGAAGACGAAGCGTGCCGCAATCCCGAGACACTGAAGGTCTGCAGACAAACACAGTGTCACACACACACACACACACACACCTTATTACTACTAACTACTTGTTACTAACTAGTTTCTATGGCAAAAAGTTAACAATTTCAGCTATTAACTGTACTGAAGTGGTTTTTATAATATATATATTTTGTAGTTCAACATCAAGACTTTAGATCAAAATGCACATACTTTGTATACAAGGCTCTTTATTTTATGTGCTGTAACCACAGTACAATTCTGTGTGCTGTAATGCATTATATGTTAAAATATTGACTTAATATATATATAATAAATTATTAATGAACATCTAAGATTCATAGACATTTATAGACCATGTTTAAAAAAGAAAAATTTTTTTTTGCATGTGCACTGAATATGTTTTTACACTTTCGTTCAAATGTTTATGGTCAGTAAGATTTTTCTAAACTTTCTGGTTTTTGAAAGTCTCTTTTGCTCAGCAGGCTGCATTTATCTGATAAAATACGGTAAAAACAATAATATTCTAGAATAGTAATAATATAATTACAATATTATTATAATTTAAAAATACTGTTTCCTATTTTAATACATTTTAAAAGTAAAGCTGAACTTTCAGCAGCCATTACTACAGTCTTCAGTGTCACATGATCCTTCATAAATCATTCTAATATGCTAATCTGGTGCTGAAGAAAAAAAAATATTATTGTCAATGTTAAAAAAAGTTGTTTTACTTAATTTGCTGGAAACAGTGATACAATTTTTTCAGGATTCTTTGATGAATAGAACGTTTGAAGAAAAGCATTTATTTGAAATACAAACCTTTTGTAACATTATAAATATCTTTACTATAATTTTTGATAAATTTAAAGCATCCTTGATTTCTTTCCAAAAAAAAAAAAAAAAAAAATACTAACTACTTGTTACTAACTAGTTTCTATGGCAAAAAGTTAACAATTTCAGCTATTAACTGTACTGAAGTGGTTTTTATAATATATATATTTTGTAGTTCAACATCAAGACTTTAGATCAAAATGCACATACTTTGTATACAAGGCTCTTTATTTTATGTGCTGTAACCACAGTACAATTCTGTGTGCTGTAATGCATTATATGTTAAAATATTGACTTAATATATATATAATAAATTATTAATGAACATCTAAGATTCATAGACATTTATAGACCATGTTTAAAAAAGAAAAATTTTTTTTTGCATGTGCACTGAATATGTTTTTACACTTTCGTTCAAATGTTTATGGTCAGTAAGATTTTTCTAAACTCTCTGGTTTTTGAAAGTCTCTTTTGCTCAGCAGGCTGCATTTATCTGATAAAATACGGTAAAAACAATAATATTCTAGAATAGTAATAATATAATTACAATATTATTATAATTTAAAAATACTGTTTCCTATTTTAATACATTTTAAAAGTAAAGCTGAACTTTCAGCAGCCATTACTACAGTCTTCAGTGTCACATGATCCTTCATAAATCATTCTAATATGCTAATCTGGTGCTGAAGAAAAAAAAATATTATTGTCAATGTTAAAAAAAGTTGTTTTACTTAATTTGCTGGAAACAGTGATACAATTTTTTCAGGATTCTTTGATGAATAGAACGTTTGAAGAAAAGCATTTATTTGAAATACAAACCTTTTGTAACATTATAAATATCTTTACTATAATTTTTGATAAATTTAAAGCATCCTTGATTTCTTTCCAAAAAAAAAAAAAAAAAAAACAGAATTATGAGTGTTAATTTTTGTCTGATGTTAGTAAAACTATCTATTTATTTAGAACACCTATTACACAGCTGATATTAACATGAGTTTTACCTGTGCAGTGGAGCAAGAGCAAAGGACAGGAAATAGACAAACACTCTGAGGACTGTGCTACCCCAGAATGCAATGGATGCACCAAGCACACAGAGCAGTGGGGACACTAGACGGGGCCATTCCTGCATAGAGGCCTTTGGATCCTGGGGTAGGTCCTCCACAGAGTTTAGAGGAAGAGCATCCACCGCAGGGAGACCCAGAGAGGACCAGACATCCTGAAACCAGCTCTGCCTATGGTAGAACAATACGGGGAAAAAAAGAAAAATAGATATATACTGTAAATATTTTATAACCGTTTAATTTGCTGGAAAAAAATTATTACATTTACTGAATTTATTGAATAATGTATAGTCAAAATGGAACACTGCTTAAAAAAAAAATAAATAAAAATTTCCTGTATCAGGACTGACCTGAGCAGCAGCAGCAGCAGGAGGATGGGCACTTCCAGTTTGTGGAGCTGTAAGGATTTACTCATGCCCTCTTGGATTCCAACAGGATGTCCAGATCTTTTGATGGAGCTCAGCTGAGTCCTGATCATCAGAAGAAGCACTACAGCCGAGTAGACAGGGAGAACTGGACCACAGAAACGCAGAATCTAAAGAACAAACAATTCCTTTTGAACACAAGGAATACTCTGGGGTTAAAACTTGAACAGCATTTCAAATGAAATATCACAATGTAAGCACACCTGCCCAAGCACTTTGGGAAACGAAGTCCGAATAGACACCTATAAAGAAAAAAAATACAATGTTAGTTGCCTAACTGATAAGTTCACCTTCGAGAAAACAAGAAAATGTGGATGAAATACCTTGTATTGGCAGTTGGGGGCAGTGTGGAGTTGCAGTAGGGCACTGGTGGCGTTGTCTGGGCGGCTAGAGTGAAGCATGCTGTAGATTTCAGATACCGAAGGAATACTTTGGTGGGAAAAAAAAAAATTTCATAAATAACACAACTATCAGTACTCTGATGCAAAAAGAGAGCTGAGGAAAGTTGGCTGATTAATGACAAGCCTCTTTCTACCTTGCAATATCAAAGGAGTCTTCATGAAACCAAGGTACTCTCAGTCTGTACACACTGGGCAGTCTGTCTGTATAACACAATAGTATCAGACATACACATACAGCATCAGACGTGAGTCTTTTAAATCATCATGCTTATTTTCTGGCAGATAAAGCTGAACAAACTGGTTACCTTTAGTGGTTTTGCAGTGACTCGTGATCGTTATTCTGAAAACTTGATAAACCTGAAGGAACACAAACAAATTCACTTTTATTATGCTTTCGGGTATATATCTTATTTTAATTAAAGGTTAGGATGTAACAGATTACTGCATAGAACATCAACATAAGAAACTATTCTAAAGATTATTATGGGATTTGTACCATTACAAAAGCTTCTACTATAAATGGATATTTGAAAAAAACAAAAAAACAGGGATAAACTATATGGAGAGTCTGAGGTTTAAAAGGGAAGGAGAGTAGAACGACAGGGAATGCTGTGAGCGATCACCTGATGAAAGTCTTGTAGCTGTAGTGTATGAAGCAGCCCAGAGGAGTTAATGCTGATGTCACTGACAGTCAGACCTACAAACAGTCACATTCAGGTTAAAGCACATACGTATTGTAAACATCACATACAATAAACACACCAACTTATTTATTTCCTTGTTTTCTTTTGGACAGTGTAAGAATGTTATAAGATTATTACATTGTTTTTTAAATAGGCCTATTTTATGTTAACAATGTGCAGAAAATAGCTCATCCAGCTGTCATTAAGGCAAAACAGGCAACTAAAAAACATTGCTCTGTATGACAGCATCTGCTAAATGCCTTAAAAGTAAAATGTAAACAAGTATGGAGTGTTTAGTGGGCTCACCAAAGGACAGCACATGAGGCACCTGCACTGAGACAGTCAAGCTCTCCTCTCTCTGCAGCTCACACTCCACTACAAACTACAAACAGACAATTAAGCGTTTAAAAAGCATCTTTAACAAAAAAAAAACTCATCGCAAATTATTTTGACATAAATCATTAAATGCATGTTTTAAGAAGGGAAATGTCTGCTAATGTGGTCTGTCATGTAATGCAAGTTTTCATTACGAACATGATAATGTGGAATGTAAGTTAACCTCTAACCTGTGCTCCACTGGGGTTCGAGGCATCAATGATGAGATGAGAAACAGACAAAAGCTCACTGATTTTTACTGTTACAGCCTATAAAGAAAGACAGTTTATACATCTTTTTTTTCGCAAAATGTAGCTATACAAGGTATGTTACTGAATAACCTAGAATGACCTTATAAGCTGGAAGAAGTTCTGTCTGAGGTGAGAGATCTACTGTCTGAACACTGGGGGAAAAATAGATAAGAAAGCAATTTACAAAGCAAATAACTGAACACATACTATACAATTTACATTATCAACAACAGTCCATATTGATGGTATGGATCAACATGTGTGCAATGCACCAGGCTCATGAAAATGTGCTAACTTTACGAGTGCAGATTCTGTATGGGCCTGGTAATTATTTCTTAAATGTTGCTCTTTTTAACAGGATTTTTATGTGGTTTATTTTACTCACCACATTGAGCCACTCATCTGTGTGCAGCCATACAGCCAGCTGGTCAATTCCTGTTGAACATGTACAGACAAACAGCTCTTCAAAATGGCTAAGAACATTCACAATGAGCATAAGTCACAAGGAACAAAGACTGCAACTTGGACAACAGCCTGTATGAAAGAAAAACTGCACTTTCCTGCAAAATACATACTGTGCTTTTTATAAAAATTTTTTTTTTTTTACAAGTTTACATTTTGCTTCATAATATTTGACTAAAGTTTTAAAACATAAGAATTTGTACATTTAGGAATATTTCACCCACAAATGAAAATTACCGCTTTATTTACTCACCCTCAAGCCATCCTAGGTGTTTATGACCTTTTTCTTTCAGATGATACAATCAGAGTTATAATAAAAAAAATGTCCTGGCTCTTCCAAGTTTTATAATGGCAGTGAATGGCAATTGTCTTTACTGTTACATTTAATCAATTTAATGCGTCCTTGCTGAATAAAAAAAATCTAACTAATTTCTTTCAAAATAAACAAAAAAAATAATCTTTTGAACTGTAGTGTACCTTCAAAACTCTCAAACAAATCCATCTGTACATATTTATGCATGTCTGTAGGTCTTTTTCCTACCCAGTATATAAGGGTCCAGAGACAGGACAGGTGCCTGGTGGGGGGAGGCCTGGGTGATGATGAGGCTGACCAGGCGTGGGTTGAAACGTGCCAGGGCGAACAAAGCTCTTGCCACCACTCCACCCATGGAGTGACCCACCAGAGCCACACCTGTGGGAGGGTCTGGACGGTCCTGCAGCCATGGGAATGTAGTAAAAAGATCATTGAAATATTGAAGAATGCTCTGTAATATCTGTCAACTCTGACTGCCCAAAATCTGCAGACTATCAACTCAAAACCAGAGGTGTAAAGAGTACCTAAAAACCATTTGTGATCTGTAGCAAAGGGACAGAAAAGGATGGAAAGGGAAGGGAAGAAATGAAAAGGGTGGAAAGGGAAAAAAGATGCCCTTGACCTCTGACCTTGTAAAGGCGCAAGATGGCTTTGATGCTTTCATATAGAAATTGAGTCTGTCTGCGCAAACTGCCACCATACAGGGCCACCAACTCCTCATTGAAGTCAATGGTGAACACGTTCATATGGATTCGTATGTCCAGGTTCTCAGCCTTCCTCAACGCCACTGAACCCAGAGAACGAGCTGCAAGAGAGAGTAGAACGACATCTCTGTGTGAGCTCTCACCTCTGTCTTCCTCTATTTGTAATGAACAATCAGAATATTTCATAAGTACTGGGAAAAACTCAGTAGGAGGATCGAGATTGATTGAGCAAACAAACCACCTAACAGTCTAAAACCACCTTGAAGGGAAAATAAACAAAACCAAGCTACTCAAATTACATATGTAGGTATGCATAAGATGTGTTGACTGAAACACTGAAGAAAAACCAGTTCCATCTCACCTTGCTTGTAGCTGCCCGCGTTCCCAGGCAAGAAGAGCACAGGTGCGCCGGTGAGCTTGAGTCCTCTGCTCTCCTGAGCATATGCGCCCTCTCCATACAGATACAGCCCGTATGATGGGTACTGGCGCGCGACACGCCTCGGAAGCTGCACGCGCTGTGCAAGCACATAAACATACAAGACTAAACATTCATGCGCAGAGGAAAATGCAGGACAACATGCAAATCAAGTAGTGAAACAGGATTCCTGAAACAAGCGAAACTTTAAATGCATGTTCAGGTCATTCAGGTTTGAATGCGTGGCAGGCAGAGCTTTATTTTGAGACGTTCTCTTATAAGTTATACATGCTACCATGGTATTACTTATGATTTTCTTCAGCCGTTCATGAATAGTTTTTTTAAAATAACCCTATTTTTAACATCAGTAACAAAATGACGACTTATTTCCCCCTAATATTTGTTATATTTTAGATAGAAATAAATGATGCATACTTTTGAGGTGGATATTCTAGTACCATGAATACCTTACAATAAAAATATTTTAAATATATAAGTGTGAGGAAAGCGAGGGGGTTTTGCCCATCGAAATATTGTATAATGACTGATGTTGCTGATTAGTTCTGTTTGTTGTTGCCAAAACAACAGGTAGAATGACGGGCATGAGGAACTGATGCATGGCCTGCCAATGAATTGTGAGCTAGTGATGTTGCTCTAATTACAAGTAATGGTGCATTTTGCTAATTGCAAACCAAACGTGTGAAGAAAGCAACAGTGATACAGACTGTGTTTGCAGTGATACTCACTCGGTATTCTGGGTACTCGAACATGTATGTCATGCTGCATCGGTTCTCCCCGAAACCAAACAATAAATCCCGCAAACCCACAAGCAAAAGCCCAATAGCAAAGCCGTAAAACGCGTATCCAGCGAGTCTCATGTCTCTACAAGATACGCTTGATTTTATTCACAAATATTCATTGTAATCGTGTCTCCGCTTTCCTCATTGTAAACCCACACTGCCTGTTTAAACCAATAGGAAACCTCCTACGGACCTGTCACGCAGCAAATGGGATGACGTCACGACGCAGACAGGAGAGTAGCCAATGGAGAGGGAGAATAGGTTCTGGGTTTGGCCAATCAAAATTGACAGTGGGAGGGATTGCAAAAGAACAGAGTGTGGGATCGTCGTGGAATAATTCTCCAATATTTAAAACGTTGAAAGGCGTAAATAGAGGAGAAATCCATGGTCCGTCGTGTCATCTTGAAAGCTTAAGTTTAAAGCAAGGGAACGTACATAATATTAATGAGGAATTCATATTATGCAGTACACTTTCATATCCCCATTATGTGCCTCAATATAATGGAAACATTAAAACATGGTGACATTACAAATCATATTAGTTGGTTTTCGATCACAATTTATTCATGTTTTTTTTTTTTTTGCACTAAAATATTTTACATAACATGGAATTTTTGATAAAACCGTTACAGAGCTTACTGGTCAGTTCATCAGTCTGTATGAACCTGTCTTTCAAAGTATCCAGGCAGCAGTCTGTATGTCTTCAATACTAAAGGATTGTTTTTATTCTTGTATAGTTTTACAGTTCAGTTGCACAGTTTGTGCAATGTGCAGTCAACCTGACCCCAAAACTCATCATACAAAGTTTAAAAAACAACAGCACCTTTTTTTAAAAGACCAAACTGATCAATCAGGGGCCAACCATAAATTACAAACATATTAATGTAAAAGTTATTAATGTGAGATCAGCAATACACGGAAGCACACAGGAAGTCAACATTTATAACTTTCTATTGCCCATGGAAAGTACCTGGAGCTGACAATATTGCAGCATTATTTTTTCCAGTGAATCTTGCCTACATGTTTTGGCATGTTGAGCAATATTAAACAAAAAAAAGCATGAAAAATAATCTCTCCTCTGCAAGTTAAACACACTTAGTCAAGAAGTTTTGAGTGCTCTATTCTTGTGATGATCCAATCTGGAATCACGCCTTGGGTAAACTCCCTTTGGAATCTGTCAAAAAAGGAAAACATAAATGACAGACATAAATGTTATACTGATGTTTGTTATAATTTAGTACAGTTATAACATAATACTAATATTTCTGGACATCAACTCAAGGTATTAAAATAGTAGTTTTCTACTACTCCTAATAAGTATAGTTAAGTTAAACTGTAATACAAATACTAGAGCCTTGCAATCCATTTCACTATGAGACTCAACACACAGACAATGAAAAGAGTAATCACAATACTCACTCATAATTGGCTGTCAGCAATCTCTTGGTCTCTGGTCTCTCTCCTTCCCCACCAATGACAACCTGGAATATTCTCGCTCCCTCCATACTCTCATCTGGAAGTCTGGCACTCGTCAAGTACCAAAAACGCATCAAGATACTTACATATTTCCTCCCTAAAAGCAATTGAAAAAAAACCCTGCAATTATTTTTGTCATACATATTCATTTATGCTCTATGTTACACAAAATTATTTTTTGAAATAGTAACCTACTGAATGAATTCAACTTGGCTGGCATATAAGAAGCAGTCTGATAAATAGGATGCAAATATGCTGAATGCAAGTTACAAAGATTATATTTCCTAAATTACACGCCCACAAAAAAAGTTTGGGGTCAGTACCTTTTTTTTTGTTGAAAGAAATGAATGCTTTTATTCAGCAATGATGTGTTAAATTGATAAAAAGTGATAAAGACTTTTCAAAAATATTGTTAGAAAAGATTTCTATTTTAAATAAACACTGTTCTTTTTGTGTGTTGAGGTGAACAGAATACGTTAAAGACGTGTCTAGTAGCTATGTTCAATTTGTTCACGAATGAGTCGGTTCACTTAAATGAATCAATTGACTGAATTAGTCGGAGGAGTTCTCGGGTCAACAACTCACCTACTCATTTAAATCATGATTTAAACAAACTTCTTAAAACGCAATAAACAACAATATGTCTACATGGCGTTACTTGGATGATTTAATTCAGAGCATTCAGAGACTCGGCTTTTAATTCGGTTCTTTTAAACAAACGGTTTAAGAGAGTCGACTCACCAAAACGAGTCGAATTTCCTAGCGGAAGGCGGAATGGTGCAGATGGCAGCGAATGGAGAGTAAACTTCAGACTGTCAGAAATGGATTGTCAGGAAAAGCTGGAGGTGCCCGTCTACACCGATGTGGACAGAGAGACTTTCTTGAGGGACATATATCCACTGGTAACTCGTGTAATATATATATATATTAAACAGCCATTTATTGTGGTGTGCTGGACAAATGAATGACACGTGTTTTAGTTAGCGTAGACCAGCGGTTCTAAAGCGCGTGCCCCTGGGGCCGTGTGTGCGCTCGTGGACAGTGAGTTATCTCGCGCAGAGGGGGGGAGACCGCGAGGTCAAAGTGCATGTGTCCCCAGAGCCCAGGATGGACTTTCTGCATAAGAACTTTGTGTACAGGTGTGTGTGATTTTACATGAATCCTTTATACCGGAGCACAACACAAAACTGTGGAAGAATAACATAATTCTGTATTTCAGGACACTGCCATTTGACAAGTTTATTCAGAGAGCTGAAGAGGCAAAGCACTCAGATTTCTTCATTAGTGAGGTTAGTTACCTTAAAAAGTAAGTTTTGATTCTAATATTCTATTTGACAAATATTTTGTGCCATTTATGCTAAATTAATACATATACGTTTGGACATAATTCTGGCTTAAGACAAAAAAAATTGTATCTTTCAAGCCTCTATCCTTAATTGTGTCATACAATTTTTACAGTTTTTAA